TGTATGGGCTTTATATTTGTGTGTGTGTGTGTGTTTTCCAGGGGACGTGAAGCAGCTGCTGGTCTGGATCCAACGGAACCTGCTGAAGGAACGGCCCGAGCTCTTTGTCCAAGGAGACTCTGTGTGAGTGTGTGTGTGTGCACTTGACACACACTTGATCTGTGTACAACAAGATAACCTAAAAGGATATGTTATACATCACACCGCCACTGGAAAAAATAATCTTAACTGCCAAATATGATAAATAATATTAAATACATTTGCTATATTGAAAGCTCTTCTTTCAATATATGGAACATTCTAAAATATAACTTGAGTCGAGGAGCTTTCTGAAGTATTTTTTCCTTAAAACTGCTGAAATGCTGGAGGGAAAATGGTCTAGCCTTCAGGTTATGGGTTTCAGTTAGATGATTACTTGTGTGCAATTGTGTGTGTGCATGTGAGCTTGTGTGTTTATACCCACACACGTATGTATATATATATATGTGTGTGTGGGGGGGTCCAGGGCTCACAGCAGTCTTATAGGACTGGCTGACTTTTACAGCTGCCTTTGTGCAGGACTATTTATAGCTCCACCTAACCAATGAATGGAGAAAAAGCTGGCCTACCTATAAACCTTATAGATTAGATGTATGTGTGTTTGTGTGTGCTCTGTGTTGGCAGAACACAGAGTTTTTGAGCAAACCATCATCAAGATGTTTTCTTCATTATCTTTTAAAAAAGACATATGGATGCTGTTTGTGATTACAATTTACAATCCATACCTTTAAAAATATATATATTTTCATCCATTTCGACGCAGCCCTGTTTGTGTGTTTGTGTGTTTGTATCTGTGTGTGTGTGTGTGTGTGTGTGTGTAGCCACGTTTGTACTCACAGGTTCCTCTCACATTGCCCTTTCTCACTGACGTCATAGAGCATCCACAAGGTGGAGAGAAGCTCACTTGAACAGTATGAGAGGCATCAGTGTCTGTTCCAGGCATTATCTCGATATCCACATTACTCAGGTTCCTCTGTGGCCTTCACAAAAAAAAAAACCTGACACCGTACTAAATCTGCACCCATAGGTGCCTGTTGTTACCCTCCCCCATTACCCCCATTATCCTCTTTTGAAGGGTGGCGGTTTTATTTGTTTATTTATTTATTTCTTCTGTTATTTTTGGGCCCCCATTAATTTCTAGTGACAGTTTGTTTCCCCTCCACAATCTACTCTGTTACCTGAGTCTCTTATGTTTCTTTTATATTAAAAAAAAACATCATTACTATCAGTCCTTGTTGGCCAGAAAACTATCGGGGAATTTGTGATTGGTAATACAAGAGCTCTATGTATATTCGTAGATAGATCAGTTTCAATGGACAAATCTAGGAATTCTATACAGTGAAGTGATGAAAATTAAAACACAAGACTTGATTTTCTCTGCACTACGTTTACCTATATATTATATATATTATATATATTATATATATTTATGTCCTAAAAAAGATTTCAGTAAAAACAGCTAAATGTTTTTTTTTTTTTTAAATGTTACTTTCAGGTGTATTAATATATTTGTGTTTTTTATAAGCAAACTACATTACTGTGATTATAACCGTTAAAACACAGGCTGTTTCAATATATGGCTAAATTGGACAGGCTTACATTCAGAGGGAAAATAAAATCTCCTGCCTGAGAAAGCAATACATTTCTATTTCTCTTTTAAGTTAAGTTTGTATTGTGTCTTTTTTTTATTTTTATGTATCAGCGTTTTTCTGTGCATCTGTGAAGGCTTTCCTGATCTACCTGTTTGTGTCTTTTACACATATGTGTACGTGTGTTAGTGTCTGTGTTTTCCTTTGGGAAATGCGCAGACTCAAAACGATGTGTTTTCCCACAGGAGACCTGGGATTCTGGTGCTTATCAATGATGCAGACTGGGAGCTAATGGTGAGCACTGGGAGCCACGTTCACTGTCAGATGGTGTACAGAGTGTGCATGTGTTTCCAGCAGCTTGTAGAAAACATGCATTATTTTTATTTTAAGTTCTTTTAACCTATGTTGTCTGTTTTCAGGATGTACCATTATGGTGTGAAATGATTAAAGACCATGTATACAGCTTTATGTCTTCACATTTAGATCCCTATAACTGTTAAAAATGCTTGTGTGGACGTTTTGTGAGGACTGTCTGAGTGTGAAGGTTAGCCCTATATGTTCACTGAGATTGTTCATTTTCTCCGAGTCAGTTAATGTTTCATATCATTGGAAAGCAGCTGCAAGACAAGTTTGTCCTTGGGGTCTCATATCTGAACACATATTTACATGCACACACACAGTCTGAACGCTTCAATTTCTATCCACTGATTCAATTACAGGACGAAACACAGGATGTAAATTAAATGAAAAAGTTTGTCATTGATTGGACCCCAATGGTAACACAGGAGTAATACACATATTTGTATAAGTAAAGACAGATATTTCTGTGTGAATATTGAATATTTTTTGTATTTTCTAATCCTCAGGGGGAGCTGGACTACCAACTACAAGACCAAGACAATGTTGTGTTTATTTCTACTCTTCATGGAGGATAGAAAATGAAATGCGGAATATAAACATATCCTTAACATCTCTGTAACTGCCTTTTCACCACATCTTCTGTATTCTTCACTTTCTCCACCCCCCCCCGACACACACACACACACACATCTCAACAACACGTCACCCCATTGGACGCTGCGGATGTGTCAGCCTGCACCATGACATCTGAGGTGATTGATGTCAGTCTGGATGGTGGTTAGCAAAAATAAATAAACGTGGAAACTGTGAGACAGGAATTCTGTGGACCGGACAGGTTTAAAGGGCAGCCACGTGAAGCTCTGGTTGTACTGGTCAACCACCCAGGTGCAAGTGTAAATACCTACAGTTGGCGTGTAAACCTTCATCTCCCTGCATCTGCTCCTCCAACATGACTGAAAGACAGAATGACCTTATCGTGGGGTCCACAATGACCTTCTGTTCACCAGAATAAAAAAGAAAAAGTAACACTTTACTTGAGCCGCTAACAACATTTATTAACTTGTTTATAACAGATGTATTTGTAAGCAGATATAAGGACATTTTAAGTGTTTATNNAAGCTATATTTTATATGATTACAGCCGTCGATCATTATCTGTTTATACACCAATGGCCAGATATGGATGCTTCACATGTGGAGTTACAGTGGTTGACTTTTTTTTTCCTTATGTCGTTTCTTACATTTTCTGTGCTTACAAACTTACGCATTTATTAGCGTGGCAATAAACAATTCTTTAAATGTTTATGAATAGTGGCTAAGAAAAAATTAATTGGTGGAGGGTTCAAAGATTACAGGTGGTTACAGGAAAGGTTTTTTTTTTTTTTTTTTTTTTTTAGGTACTTGTATGTGATTGAAAAAATATATTTTGTTTATTATGTTTAATTCTTCTTATTGCTTCTGATATTTTCCCCCAACAAAATGAAAACAGATTAAACGCTTTTTAAAAAATAAACTGCCTATATCTGCTTTTATACTGTGAATTCTGAAATTTAAAAATATTTTTCCACATTAAAAAAAATTATTGTTTGTGGATTTCACTAACATTGACAGGATGGAATATTCTCTGTTATTAACACAGTAGAGAAATAACGATTTAAACATATATTTTATTTATGGAAATTTATTTTTAGCCTACTCTTTAATTTACAAAGAGTATTGCAATTTCAGTGAATCATCTGTAGTGAATTTCTATACTGTCGTCTATGTTATGATTTTCATTCTCCAATGTAAATATTATAAGTCCCAAACACCACATTGTGTGTTTCTACACTTTACAGTGTCACCATAAAGTCTAGGTTTGGCTGCAAGGAGCTCCAGCAGCCTGTACCGCACACAGAGGCCTGTAGCCAAACGCTTTTCTCAATTAAAATTTAACATCACGCTTCGATAATTCCTGGTGATAGCTTATATCTGATCGATTTAAGCCCAGCTCTGTGATCACACTGCAGTTTTAGGCTGATTAGACGAGACTTGAGGGAGATTTTACCGTCCTATAGCCTCGCTCAGCTGGAATATTCATAAGAAGTGGGGGGGGTGGAGGGCGTGTGTGTGTGTGAGTGCGTCGGTGGGTGAGTGGGTGGGGTGTGAACTACAGGACCACTGCGGGAGGTCGAGGTCTAGCCTCCGGGCTCCCCTCCCCTGAACGCCCGGGGCGACCTAAAACCTTTTCTCGGTTGTGGAGTCCGATTTGCAACGGGAAACCGAGCGATAATGGCCGGTAGAAAGGAAATGCTAATGAGGCTGCGAGGGGGTTAGAGAGGAGAAAATGTAGCACTGTGTCAGCTAGTGCAGGCCTGGGACACTGAGTGTGTGAGAGGGAGACTTTTACAGTGATGATATAGGACATTTTTCTGTGTGTATAGACTTTATAGGCCACCATTTAAAAAAAATAAATAAATAGAATTATTTGGCCCCAATATTAAGAACACAAAAGCTTTAAAAGTTTGTGTATAATCTTTTTAAATTGTATCTTCTATCCAGTGGTTAGTTTTCCATAATTTATGTGCAAATCAGCTTTACACCCACATTCTATTCCCTCTCACTTTCTACTGTCACAGAGCTATAGAGAGCACTCTAAATACTGGAGGTCCTCCATTACTCCTGCAGGGTTTGGACTATTACCTGGGCCTCCACGGGGGGTGTTGGGCTAAACCAGTGTCCCCCAGCCTGCACACACACACACTGACTGGCTGCAACAGGAGAGCTGGTGACGATGCTGCTGGTGAGTGAGTTGACTTGGCCTCACCATCACATCACACACACATAGGTCATAAGGACTCTGAACAGTCCAGGTTACAGCAGTGGGTGTAAAAAATAAAATAAAAAAGCGCATGTGATCACCAGTCTGTGGTAACACCGCCATAAAGTCAACACCAGCCAATAAAAATAAACTACAAGACTATGATTTTACATAATAGCATTTTATCGAGAAGGCTAACCGGAGGATTCTTCTGTAAAGTTTGTTTTTTTCTGTAACAAAAAAAAGAGCAAAACGAACATGCATCCCTGCATTAAAGTAAACATATATTTACTCCTAATATTTCAATAATGTTGACCAAATTGAAACCCATAATTAAACATGTAAGTGTATGTTCTTGTGTCATCTAAGATTGTTTACTAAATGCGATAAGAGAAAACATATTTTATTAAATAAATAAATAATAAATGAAGTGACACCTGCCTGCTTTCTTTTTTTATGCTAAAAGCAACTGTTTCCAGATTTACTCTCCATCGTGTTTTCCTATTGCACTCACAGGCTCCCATAGTTTCCTGCAGGGAATTCAGTGCTGAGGCTCAATGCATGTTATCTGAAAGTGGACAAAACACTGTAGTTAGAAATATATACAGCCCAAACTGCACAAACTAATGGAAACTAAGCTCACAGCCTACGAATAACTCATGATTAGAGGTATTTTTTTTGCATCTGTTTTTGCAAAATGTTACAAGACTCAGCTCTATAACATCACTACAGCCTTCTGATTGTTATTTTAAAAAAAGGATTTCTTGGTGGGAAACACACCCCTGTTATGCTGCTGTTGTTGTTGTTTTGTTGTTGACACGCAGAAAAAAAAAACGTGTGCATAAATCATGCATTTTTTTAAGAACAGGCTTCAGATATTAGAATATTTCGTATGCGGTTGTAATTTAGAGGAGATACCAATATTCTGTTGAAATTATTAAAGAGAAACAGTAGCAGAGACCAACAGAGTCATTTCACACAGAAGCATTTGTGCAAACGTGATGCACTGATCCCCTGGAATTAAGAAAGGTTAGCCTTCAATGTTCAACAACACACACGTTGGCTGTGTGATGTGTGTGTGTGTGTGTGTGTGTGTGTGTTTTAAATTAAATGATGGGTGTGTGAACAAAATTACAACGTTTTCTAAAAAAATAGATATTTGAAATAAGAAGTTATCTTTAAAAGGTCAAATATTTTATATATTTTTTGCATGGACAGTTAAAAACTTTCGCCGTTTTTATGTATTATTTTATTAAGATTAAAATGTGCTTAATTTGTAGGTGATTTATCGTTTTCAAAAAGAATAATTAGAATTGGTTTTAAGCAGCAAAATAATTCCATTTTAAAAAAAGGATGCAAAACGATAAAAACGTCCAACAATGGGCCAAAAAGTGTCCCACGTGATTTATCAGTGACGCTGTTTGGCTCCAGAGATTTGGCAGCTTCAGTCATCAGGCCTCTGCTGCTCTGTGTGTTTTCTGTTTGTACACCTTGGAACTGAACACACTGCCTTTGATTTTGTCTTAAAAAGCACTAAATGCGTTTTTAAAATTGTGTTTTAAGTAATATATCTGTGGTTAAGTGCCCTTTCTGTAGGATGCATTGTAGCTTTGCCTTAATAGGCTCTAAATATGCTCTTAATATATTAATAAATTATAAGGAATTATTTAAGAAACCGTTTTTTTAAAGCCAAATGTAGCTTTTAACGAAAACTTTCTTTTAATTTATTCTGTCTGCCTCGTTCATTTATATTTATTCTCCTCGTTCATGACTCCATGTGTCTGAGATGGTCCAGTTTTTTTTTTTTTTAGCTTTGCTCATCTCACCCACAACGTGCTTCTGTGCTGCATGCAGGCCTCACTCTGTGAGCACTCAACTTACTGCTTTATACTATTTGCCAAACACAGTCGATACATCAATGCTTCCAGTCGATATTTGCCATTTTAAACAAACAGTCTTGATTAGATCTTCGACGAAGTGTAAATACCAATCGGGCCAACCACAACGCACACCCCGAATAACACATTACATGAGGCAGAATAAGATTTCCTCCACTTTATTGGCCCAGTCCGGCGTCTTTTCCTCCATAAAATCCTAAATGTGTCTTGAATCTTACCTGAAATGAGACAGTTACAAAACAAAACGAGTCTAAAGGCCTTTCTATAGCCTTCTTTGTGGTTTGGAGGCCTACATTCTTGGTGTGGCGTTTGGCCAAAGACAGCAGTGATGAATGTGAGTCTGCAGCAACAGATGTCCATACACAATTCTTGGGGTTGAATTTGAGTTTACTCAAGAATTGCGTTTGGACAATCAGTCGCTAAAGACTCTGTGTATCCTCTGCCAAGATTTAAAAGGAGAAATTAAGCATTTGATTATTTAAATCACAAGTGTGCACGGGCAGTTATTGTATAGGCCCATGGCTGCACCTGCTACTGCTGCCCAAATGCCCTTTGACAGTATGATCTGCGTCTGACACTGAAAACTGTTTTCTTTCTCTTTTTTCTCTCTACAAGATAGGGGGTTGCAGCACTGTGCATTATTTTTTGACATTCTCAGCATTGCCTCGGATTTGCCTTTTTTTTCCTTTGAAAAGAATCAGCTTTCTCACGGAGCATTTCCAACAACTGAGCTGTTGCAGCAGAAAACTAGACCTCAAGATATTCTTTTGCGATGAAAAATATTCAAATGTAGCCTGTAGTTCAACTTTCCTCTAAACTAGTACATCCCAAAATGCTTGAGCACACTCTCTTGTTTAATGTAGAGGCTGATCCCCTCTCTGATCGCCACATTAGAGCATTAGAGGAAAGTCCATCCTTTTTTTTTTAGCAATTGTTTGATACTAAGGAGGCAATGTTGCAGCCACAATCACTTTGTGACTTTCTCCACTGCTGCTTGAAAGCATCCTATTTTCTAGTTTCTCTTACAGCTACCGTTATCTCTCCATGCCCTTACACTGGTTGCTACTTGCAAAGTTAAACCCCAAGTCTGTCCAGATCTCTGGGCCCTTAAGATGGCTGAATGGCCGTTGCATCTTTAAGTAAAATGTCATCTCCTTTTGGTTCACCGGAAAGTCTTAGTTTCAAAGTGTCTACAAAAAAGAAAGAAAAAAAAGAGGTGAAAAAGACAAGAATCAAAGCAGCTCAACTGGACTTTATTTCGTTTTTAAAGTCCGAGGTGAGAACGCAAAGAAAACGTTTCGCCATTTCTGCACCTGTGTACTGTCATCGATTTAGGGAAAGACTGTTCAGTTCTGGTGCCTCAGGATGCACAATGGCTTTCCACGGATGTTAAATCTAAAAAAAAAAAAAA